TGGTGGGGTAATCGGACGAGCAATGCTCAGGTTAGGCATAGCGTTTTAGGCAGTCGTGGCCGTCCACTGGAGCAGGTAGTCGACCTCCATGGATTACGCTGGTTGGGACACGTGTTACACATGTCACCAGATCGTTTGCCATGGTGCTTAGCGAGGCAGGTAATGGGTAGAATAAAGCCAAGGGTGGTCAAACTAAAACCTGGGACGAGGGTATGAAATCCGTAATCAGGGTACTGGGTCACATAGGTCCCGTTAGGCTCCCTGGATGGGGACCCTGAGATGATAGTCACCGATGGTTAGAGACGCTGAGCGATATGGCTGGGTTTCGCAAACGATGGTGCTCATGCATCTGTTCATTATTCTCTTAACATCGGTTTATATGAATTCGCTATCTTCCGCTTGAATTTGCTTTCAACATTCCGATCTTCATTCTGCTCCTNTGGGGCACCAGAAAACAGCAACCAAAACCGGCGCACGAAAGTGTATGATTAACGGTTGTAAAAACTGAAACTCCCGAGGAGAGGGAGACTCAACAAATCGCATTGTTGTAATACACAGACCCCAATAGTCGATATCTGTTCCACGTTCTCCGACGGAAAGCAAACTGTATCAATCCATATTTGTGTCGTCGGAAAATTCCAGTTAAAGTGAATTATGCTCCGCCCTCAATCAGACATACAACATTGTTGATTTTACAGACAGAGTCCTCCGAAAACAAATATTACCTAAGGGCAGTTTCCTGGGACGGGGTGAGTAGGTGCAGTAGACAGGATGATATCACAAATCATAGATGAACTAACTTACACGCGATCCGTCTGTCTACTACATCCATACAGGAGGTTCTGCCTAACACAACATTTTGTTTTTAGATGACTCCGTCTAGGAAAAGAACGATCTTCCATGACTGACACTGATGCAAACATTTGAACAAGAGAACAAAATACGATTCATCGTCCTATTTATCCCCCCCCCCCCGGGNACAGTGAAAAAAGAATGAGCGCTAATGTGGTCCAATATGAATAAGTGGTAATTGTTTCATGACATAAACGGTCACCGTTGATGTGTGAGGATGTGAAGGTGATGGGGGTGGGCTTACCTGGCAGGCGAATTGTCTGCACCAAAGCCCAAACATTTTTTGTACAAAGCTTCTTGACGTGTGAGAATCTGGCCCGCTACCTAATAAGGTTTTGTCATGACCCTGTTGCCCTGAAGGTAGCGTATTTTTGTTCAGTGTCGTAAGCAAATAAATGTCGATTCGTACCAAGAATGTCACTTTGATGAAAATAATATGGAATGATTGTAGCTCGGGATGCGGATATTCTTGCTGGTGCTGGTGGTCATGGTGAGTTCTCCGAGCTGGGAGTGTTGTTCGTAGACATTTCGCAATGAGGCTAGGTAACGTCATCAGTATAACTTCGGGGAAACCTGGAAGTTTCCTAGCCTGGTTACGAAACGTCTGTGAACAACACTCTCAGCTGGGAGAACATATCAACAACAACAACAATGTCACTTTGTCCCGTGCTAACTGGAATCATTATCTATCAAACGGCGAAGCGGACACACTAGAGAAATTCACCTCAAGGTAAAAGCCAAGGAGAGGAATAAGGGTCTTCAAATTTGTGAACCGCACGAATGATCAAGCTAGACGACTCGAAAAGACTGTGAAAGAGGGTTGACAAAATAACCTTCAGATAGATAGTTTCAAAATAATCCTTTTTTATCGATCATACTTTGCCTCCTTTTGGTGTTTCAGGAGGACAGATGAAGTGTTCCAGTGGGGAACGCACACACACACAAGTAGGCACTAAAAACACAACTGTCTATGCATGAGTAAGCTCAAAAGAAACGAGTGAAGATTAGAATGATGGGAAACGATCATCCTTTGTCAGACTTCGTTTTCTCTCATTGAGTCAATTTCATTCACTTTGTCAGCACAAAATACACGTGTTCTGGAACTGAAACTCGCCCCCCCCCCGTTCTCCCCCCCCTGAACGAAATTGAACCACTGCAGGTGTGAGCACGGTGATGACTGGACTCATTTGCAACCGATTATGTAAGCCGTCTGCGTCAGAACAAAAGAACTAAAAAAGGAACTTTGTCCCATCCCCACCTGTGTACAGTCTGTGACTGACCTCGACTGGTTGATCCTACCAAATCACTCTCCCGTTATTTTCCTACATAAATGTGACTGTACTGGCCCGGAGATGAGCACAACAGGAAACAAGTTCACCTACGATCTGTTCTGATCGATTTTTGTAAGGCAAGCGTACTTGACTGACTCATATTTTCCATGTTTTAGCACACCCAACCATTGGTTTCCATGTCTCATTATTGAGCTTCGGAGAAAATATGTTTGACCGACTGACACAGGGTATTTTTTTCTTGCCGAAATTTAACTTCTGAGATGTAGTCAATTTGGCGATGCGCAATCCAACTGAACTGAGCAAGTGAACCTGCACATTAGTCCGTCCGAGATCAAGGGGTTCGGTGGAGTGTTTCGGGAGAAAAATGACTTACTATCCCCAGAGTAAATCATCAAATACTGCTATGGAAGCTGTATAATTATGGAATCCGTGGGCTCGTACTTGGTTGGATCGAGGAGGTTCTTCGCCCACGAACCATGTCAGTTCGTGTTTCCGATTCACTTTCTGATCCAATAGATGTCAACCGTGGGGTTCAACAAGGATCTGTACTAGGCCCACGTCTTTTCCTTGCCTTTATAAATGATCTTCCAGACGTCCTCGGACCACAAACTCTGCTGTTTGCGTACGACGCCAAAATATGGAGGACAATAACAAACCAGAAGATTCATTTGATCTCCAGAACGCCCTTCACGATGGTCTATCTCCAATGATATGGAATTCAACGTTACCAAATATAAAGTTTCACCACTACGTCACCCTGGTCGTTATTCCTACACTCTCGGACACGAAACTCTGTCTCATGCTCCATCCGAGGAGGATCTGGGAGTAGTCATTCGTGCAGACTTGAGTTACTCCACAAACTGTTCCAGGGCATCATCCATGGCGGTAAAACAGGTTGGACTGCTCAAACGTGTTTTTGGATCGTTTGAGTCGGCTTTGTTTCCACGTCTGTTAGCCACCTTTATCCGTCCATACACCGAGTACTCAATTCAGGCCTGGAACCGATGGCTGCAGCGAGATCGGAAGGCACTTGAACATTCGCAGAGAATGGCCACCAAGATGGCCAAAGGTCTATATTCAAAGGCCTATGGCGAAAGATTACAGCTCTTGGGGCTATATTCTTCTCAATATCGTCAAATCAGAGGCGATATGATCTTACTGTGTCGGATTTTCCAACAGTCCAACCATCCATGTAGATCTCTTTTGGTTCTATCAACCAATGTTCATCTCAGAGGGCATCCACTGAAGTTGGCACACCAAAAGAGCCGTCTCTACTGCAGACGCCATTC